GCTATGTGATATAAATTCAGTTCTTCTGTACTGGTTATTTGATTTCTGTTAGATATTTGTTCTGTATGATTATCCGAATTCTGTACGGCTACTATTCTGATGTATTTTTGGTTGTGAATTTCTAGACATTTTGATTGGTGAGTGTTGTCTTGCTGAGCTGTTAGCTCATCCTTGTTATCTGCGTGGTTTTCAGGTTCTGGGAAAGGGAAGGAGATATTGGACTAGCAGTTCTGTGTCTGATCAGTGATTATGTATTTTGTACTTTTGATTTTTGTACAGTCATGACTTTTTTATTCTGTCGGTAGCCATGCACTGTATTGTACATGATTATTTTGATGAAAGGAGAAAATGATAGATGAACTGTTATGTATATTTGAAAGTTATAGTAGCTCTGTATTTTCTGTTCTGTATGTCTGAAATTTGGAAGAATGTCTGAAGCAAATTCCAAAACTAGATTATGAATTTTCAACATTTGTCGCGGCCCGACGCGAAGAGATTCGTTCCGGTCGGGTTGGGTCGTGACAATATCTCAGAGTCAGCCCTAAAAGGGAATTTCATGAAGGGGCTAAAATCGGAGGTAAGAACAACAGTCAGAGTGTTGGAGCCAAGGAATCTAGGCAAGGCCATGGAGTTGGCCCAGTTGGTGGAAGACCAGAAGAAGTCTAAAAGAGGAGCTCGAGGAAACTACCCAGGAGACTCTTACAGGACGATGACCACTCTTCTAGCACCCAAGGGGCCTGCATCAAGCAACATTAATGAGACTACCCGGGAGAAGCCAGTAGGAGGAGAGAGTGGAGAAAATTTTAAGAGACTGACAGAGAAGGAGATGCAAGAGAAGAGGACAAAGGGGTTTTGCTTCAGATGTGATGAGAAGTATATGTCGGGGTATAGTGTTAGACCGGTCCAGCCGGTCCAGGCGGGACCGGTTCACGGTTGGAATCGCAGAACAGGCGGAGTTTTCCGCCAGAACGAGCGGCCGACCGCTCATATAGAGCGTTTTAGGAAGGATTTTTGGGGGGTTTCAGAGAGAAATTTGAATGTAGGGACTGTTTAGGGAATTCCTTTTGATTTGTATGCATTAAATAGATGTTTTTCCTAGGGTTTGGGCATCTTGAATTTGGCTGAAATTTGAGATCTCTTAGATTTAGGTTTCTTTGGGCTCT